ACAACTGATAGATTTCCTTTGCTTATGGAGCAGGGAGGAAATTGTCAACACAATGATCATGTTATAGATATACAATGTCGTAATCATTCATTTTCAGCTTCACCTGACAATGAGGTTCCTAGCTTGAATGCACCTCATCATGAAGTTCGACCATCAGGCAGTCAATTTCCTCTTCCATCAAATGTATCAAATTCTCATAGTAGTCTCACAAGGAGAGGTGAAGGTTTGGGTCGTCGGTGGAGTCCTTTTAATACAATGTTGTGGATTTCCATTGAGTTAGTATTCTCTTTAGGTCAAATTACAGCTGCCATTGTTGTTTTATCCTTATCAAGTCATGAAAATCCACAAACTCCATTGTTTGCTTGGATAGTGGGTTATGCGGCTGGGTATGCTGCAACACTTCCTCTCCTGTACTGGAGATATCGTCACCGTAATCAGGTGGTCAGTAACCCGAGGTCAACTTCATTGCGTCAAGCCTCTAACCGAGTAAATTCCACCTCAGATCCTAATTCTTACATTACTATTTCATTGACTCGGTCGGCAGAAGAAGATGGCCAGAATGTTCCAAATGCATCATCCTCCACGGGCATCTGGAATCAGCAAAACAATGAAACTCAAAATCCTAGGTAAATATATGCACATTTTATTTGAGGTGCATTATCAAGTTAGTTGGTGTTTTGACAAATGATATTATATGCTTTTTTAATCTGAGTGCACAATACGTAGTTGTGATTTTTTTTGTATTTTTTATCTTATTTTGACCTATAAGTTTTTACTAAATCCATTGTTACTTTTACTTTGTGATCTAACTCCCATTTGTTTTTTGGCCAGGATTGTTTCATTTATGGAACACTTCAAAATGGCATTGGATTGCTTCTTTGCTGTTTGGTTTGTTGTTGGAAATGTTTGGATCTTCGGGGGGCAGTCATCGTCTACCGATGCTCCCAATCTGTATAGGTGCTTCGTACTTTCCTGTCAACCCTTTTCTTTGATTAACTGTTGCAGATATGCTTACTTGCTCTTTACTGGCTTTACAGGCTTTGTGTAGTTTTCCTTACAATTAGCTGTATTGGGTATGCAATGCCTTTCGTCTTGTGTGCAATGATTTGCTGTTGTCTGCCGTGTATCATATCACTAGTTGGTGTCCATGAAGATATGAATGGAATTAGAGGTGCAAGTGAAGAATCTATCAATGCCCTGCCAATGCACAAGTTCAATCTAAAGAGTCATTGCAGTGTTGAAGACACTGACATTGAGGTTGAAGATGGTGGTTTTGTAGCAGCCGGAACAGAAAAGGAGCGTGTCATATCAGGAGAAGATGCAGTATGTTTATTTCTCTATCTACTCATATCTCATGCTATACTATGCTCTGGAAATTGGACTGGACTTTGTGCATAAAAAGGAGTGCACCCTCATGATATTTTTCATCTAGAAATAACCTATGATGATGACGTTTTTTAATTTTAATGTCAAACAAGGAGACAAGGAGTAATGAGATGAAAATTTTAAAAGCGTCATCATCATAGGTGATTTCGAGATGCATGAAAAATATCATGAGAGGGTGCACTCATTTAACTCCGATTTCATATGTCGATTCATGTTAGCTGACCCCAAACTCTTGGGACTAAGTCTTGGATGTTGTTCTTGTATTCCTTCTTATTAAGGATGTTTTCAATTGGATTGGTTTCAGTCCCAAACTAGACTTAAACATACCAGACCAGACATGACATCAACATTTGTAAAATACATATACGGAGTAGAACATACATCTACCAGACCAGACTTAAACAGACTAAACAAAAGAAAATTCAGTCCAATTAAAAATAGGAAAACTGTCAATTTGGTCCTCGTACTATCACAAAAAAGTCAATTAAGTCCTCGTACATTTAAAAAAATCAATCAAATCTCTGAACTTTGTAAAAACGTTCAATTGAGTCCTTTAGCAGGTCATCAGCTGACGTGTCACACATGTGGCAGCCGAGTCAACGGTGACTTTGTTGACGTGGCGCACACGTAAAAGCCTAGTCAGCCATTTGCCGATGACGTGGCTCACACATGGACAGCCATGTGTGTGCCACGTTAGCGGTTGACCTGCTAATTGATTCAATTGAACGTTTTTTCAAGGTTCGGGGATTTGATTGATTTTTTTAAAAGTATGAGGACCTAATTAGCTTTTTCATGATAGTACGAGGATCAAATTCACAGTTTTCCCTTAACAATATCCTAAGGTTAGGGCGTGAAGGGCATCTGGCATACTCCCTCCGTTTCACAATCAAAGTCACACTTTGATTTCACAAAGTTTAAGGATTTTTTTTTACTGGGGGGCAAGTTTTAACGTAGAGTACACTGTTTGGCACTGTTTTGCACTGTTTTGTACTGTATTGATATAGATTTCTTTCCTAAATGGGAAGTGTGACTTTTATTTTGGCACATCCAAAAAAGGAAAGTGTGACTTTAATTGCGAAACGGAGGGAGTATAACATTGCTACTATGCTTTTTTTCAAGTTACCGGAACTAAAACTTTGATCCCATCATCCCACCGACCCAACTAGTTGGGATTATGGTGCTGATAATGATGATAATGATGCATTACATAAGAGGCTCCAAAAAGACACTACCAACTGGTTGGAATTTTGTTTCATTGAACAAGTATTTTTTTTGTAAAATGTCAGTGCGTACTGATTAATGAGCATCTGGAATCTCTTGCTCTGATTAGGCAAGGTTTTCTGGAGATTTGACATTTTGTGGGAATATATTTGGAGAACTGAAACAATGGATGTGATGTGGGTGTCATTATATATATCAAACAGATATTTAAATCGATTTAACCTATAAAGTATAAATCATAAACCCAAGAATTATCTTTTCCATGTGACTGAAGTCTGAAGATAAAGTATGGATTAATAAGATAAAGTATTGATTTAACCTATAAGATTAAGCAATAAAGTATTATTTGTTTGCAATTATATTATAATTGGACCATTCTACAACTACAGCAACACTTGCATAAAGTATTACAAAATGCACATGTGATGGCAGGATCTTGTTCCACAACTGCAACAACACATAACATAGCATGTGCTGTATATGGATTTCGTAACACTTTTTTGGGTGCATTTTTCATTTTTATAGCCTTTTTTATTAGATTAGGCGTGCTGTATTAATTTGCTTCTGTTGATGTGTAGCGATTGAAATTGCATCCTTAGCGATACCTGTCTTGTCCCATGGCATAACATTTGGCGCTGCCTAATTGCTGCAGGTTTGTTGCATTTGTCTGTCTAAGTATGAGGATGATGATGAGCTCAGGGAGTTGCCTTGCTCACACTTCTTCCATGCACAATGTGTGGATAAGTGGTTGAAGATAAATGCATCTTGCCCCCTTTGTAAGTTTGAGATTGAAGTGGAGAGTGAAACTTCAACATTTCAGGCAGAAGTGACTCAACAAGTTTAAATTGAATTTTGAGATTGAAGTGGAAAGTGAAACTTCACCATCTCAGGCAGAAGCAACTGAACAGGTTTAAGTGAAGTTTGTTTAGGGTAGGTACCTGGTAAACAAATGAGAATACTGCGATTAACGCATCTCTGGTTTATGGCAATGAAATCCCTCTTGTACAGTTTTCTAAGGTTCAAGTCAGTTCGAGGATTTAAATGAACAAAAGTGTCTGTCAATATATCTGAATTGCGTTTATCACTGTCCTGAAGTTAAATGAGTGTATACATGTTCTTAAAATTTATTTGTAAGGGAGAACATATGTGCCCAATTTTTTTGATGGCTAAATATCAACCTAAACCTGGCTTTCAATTGTGTCTGATAAACTTTGTTAATTATGAAGTAGTTCTTGGATGCCATTTCAGTCATGGGCAGACACATAGGGTGGACCCATGGCAGGTAAAGTACAATGCCGGTTGCCCAATTTTTATGGTTCCACATTGGAATAGTTTTCTCAAACCAGCCCAAACCAGTTCCGGATCCTCCAAAGTAGGTCTATAATGGTTCCTGTTCGGGTTTTTAATATTTTTTAAGTAGGCTAAAAAACCAGTCATTAACCACGACCAGACCAGATCTGCTTTTTGTGGTTTAGTTTACTGCAAGCATAAATATTGGACCCAGAACCAGGTGTACTGGAATTGGAATGGGTGCCTTTGTAGTTTATAGGCAGACATGATCTTGATTTGAACTGAAATTTCGCCATGACTACTTCACAATTGAGAGGTTCAGTGCCTGTTAGAGTGGTATTGGATATAGCTCTCTTTTGACTTTCTTGAATATTGCTGTGGTTTTGAATGGTTAAAAAATTGCTGTTACGAGAAACTAAGTTTCTGAGATTCATTTCATTCAGCCAAATTCATATGAAAAGTCATCATGGTACTTTGGCAATATGCATGGAAGTCCAAAAATACCTGCGAGCCTCTTAAAAATGCATGGAAGTAAGCTAGCAATCAAGACCTGCGAGCCTCTTAAAAATACTCAAGACCTAAGTTTTAGCATTTAGAAGGTTTAAGCAAAAGCTACTACGGCAACGATTACAAAAAATGATGCAGCTAAGGGTCCTCCATCTTTGATAGTTTTCCGCTATCTATTTCATAGGAGTTGCGTTTGTTTGGTTAATATATTTCCCGAGGTGATGCAAACTCTTTTACTTCATTTGTCCCATGTCTTCCTACTTTCCTGGGTTGTCCCAAAATTTTCTTCTCATTTACACTTCAATAATAAGTGTGCCAATTCAAAGTGGGAAGTAAATTTTGGGACTGTGGTAGTATATACATACTGTTTGATCAACTAAATTTGGTTGAGTACATGTTCACTTGCATCCTTTGTTTCTTCTTCTTCTTCTTCTCATTCAAGTTATACTTTTAACAGTTGGACTTGGTGTACACACTTTTTAGGTGTACACACTTTTACACATGTCTGTGTAGGCTTTTTTGTTGTCAATACAAACAAAACGTATTCTGGCACCCAAAAAGTGTGTACAAAAACTATTTTTGTACTTGTAAAAGCTGTGATTGACCAGCCAAAGTGGAATTAATTTCAGATGTGGTCAACAGTGCATTCATTACCAAACATATCAAAGTTTTTTTGAATAATAAGAAAGTCGGCCTTCTAGACTGATGGATGGCTTTTAATTTGGACAGATATATTGGATCTTACATATAAATCTAACTGTCCGAACTAATGCTTGGCTCATCTAGCTGAGAGTTATGGAGGAAGAGCAGCAGCTCAAAAGCTCTTTGAATTTATTGCTTGCAGACTCTGGGAGGCAAATGCAAACAAGCATTGTTCCATCAGAATCCCCACTTCCTCCTGGCAAGAAAACACAAACTTGTGGGGTTGGAGTCAGGTCTATTGGGCCTGCATAAATGGGCCTTCCCCAACCAAAGTCTGCAGATTCGTATAATGAGAATCTGGTCCATTGGGTAATGCTCAATTTCCCTCCAAACTCAAGCCTCCTAGGCCTGTCCACTTCAATGTAGTCAATTGTGGACCGCAGGTATTCCTCTGAGACGGCCAAGCGTGCCTCGCGAACCAACCGGGTTGTTTCCGCCAAAGGCCCACTATGAAGCCCAGCTACCGTGCTTGTGGCACAAGCCACGGCCAATGCATTGCCATAAAACCCTTCTCTCAAAGGCGGATTCTTGAGCTTCTGGCGTGCATTAACAGCAAATGTAAGTCGGAGCTGATAGTCAAGAGGTGTTACGTCGAGGGCTCGAACCCATGACCTCCATACATGAGCTGCCATGGCATCAAAGGTGGTGGTGGTGGAATCCCCAGCAGGTCGAGCTAGGCTTTTCACAACAGCCTGGTACTCTCGTGTAACCCTATAACATTTCTGTAAGGGCTTCGCTTCCCAAAGACTTCTAGTTAGGCTTGATCCGTCGTCGATTCTCCAGAACTCGGCATGTGGGTATTCGACTCTCGGGGGGTCACGCGCTCGGAAAAATTCTCTGCCCCAATAGGGTTTGGGGCTTAGTATGAACGAACCACCTTTTCTGCATGTGGCAGCCCATGCATTGAGAAACTGCATTGCTCCTACGCCATCACAGAGGCAATGGCAGATTCTTAGCCCAAGACTCAGCCCACCACAGTTGAACCGAGTTACTTGGGCTATTAACAAAGGCATGTCAATCACTTTATACTGTTCTTCGTTTGGGAAGCTGTAAACCAGAGACTTCCAATCAGGATTTGGAACAGTAAGATCTCCAAGATCCTCTAACCTCATTTGTGAGTGTGCCTCCACAAGAATTGCTCCCTGGTTTGGCCCAAAAAACACTTCTAGCTTTCCGTTTCCCGTCTCTCGTAACCTACCCGAGAAAGGATAGTAAGGCACCAATACATGCGCAAGGGCTTCTTCAAGGGCATTGTTCATCACCTCTGGTTTCTGATTAGAAATGCAACGCGGTCGGCGGTAAAAGTATATGGTTGGAGTAAAGACACGAACTCCAACCATGTCATCTAGGTTTGAGAGGTATAGGGTGTCCCCATGGCCAACCGGAATGGAGCCTGCTGGTAGGACTGGAGCTATACGGTCAATGGTTATGGGGATCTTAGTAATGTCAGGGAAATGTAGTTCTTGAACCGATGGATCCATGAAGAAATGTTGAGTGCGTGTGAAGGGGAAATGAGTTCCGAAGACAATTCAAGTTGTTAAACTTTGGAAACCAACACTAAAAGTGAGGATATAGATGATCAAGGTATGAAACATTTCAGGTATTTAATGGTTGAAGGACAGTTGACATTGATGGCAGTCATGAATTGAGCATAAAAGAATTAAATACTGCTCTGGGTTGGTCATATCTGTTATACTTGTAATACTAGGCCTCCTTTTATTATTAGACGGGGTTACAAAAATCAACAAAATGCTGTACGCATGAGCAAACCATAGTCGTCTTACAACTACCCCCAAATGCATCAACATACTAAAATCTTTTGCTAATCCACACAAAGAAAGCTACTAATGGATAGAAGATTTATTTATAGGTGTACCATGTGGTTAACCAATTTTTTGGCTGGCAATTGCCAAGTTAAGAAAAAAAGTAAAACCTCATGTTCAGTCTAAAATTGAACAAGATTCATGTGTCTTGTGTATATTTAGTAATGGATCATACTTAATATTTAGTATATATGTAGTGGTTCCTCTCCTTTTTCTTTGCTGCTGCTGCTGCAGCAGCTAGCCGTGCATTCCTTGTAGCTAATTCACTAGCAGCAGCAGCTATCTCTTTGCTTGACTTGCTGTTCTTCTTTTTCATAGACCGACTGCACTTTTTTTACTCTCTCTCAACAATGGTGCTACTAGCATCCTCATTCATGATTCATCTCAATTCCACCAGTACTTTAATTTCCCCTTCCAACCTCAATACCATTATGGTGTTCTATAGCATGTTTGACTTCTGTTTTTACATTCTTGCTCTCATCAGCTGTATCAACACGACCACCACCTTTTTTATAACGGTTGACATTCTCGGTTTTCACACTCTCCGTGTAGCACCTAGATAATCATCTTCTTTAGAAGTTTGATTGTGTCAAAGCTCAGAAAACATGGCTTCAATGTCCTTCGTTTTTTTCAATTCCTTTTTCCAAAGTTGCCTCTAGGGGCTCTTTTTGGTTGGGTCTCTGGCATCTCTACCGGGTGGTGGAACGTACTTCAGGCACAGCCTCCAGCTGCTCTTGCTAAATATACTCACCTCCTCCATATTTGATGCAATGATCTTTGAGAAAAAATATCAGCGTGATGATTACCATAACCATACGTTTTGTTTACCGAATAGGACCGCCATAAATCATAAAATATTTAAATAACAATATACCGTTAGCCAAACTCTAAGCCTACATTAGGTATAATGCAGTGGAATGTGTAATGAAATCAATTGTGTAACGAAGTAGAATGAAATCTTCATTACATCACTATATCTAGTTAAGCACGCTTTCTATATGGAGTAGGTGAAGTGTGCTGGAAAGCTATGTTTAAGAAACCCGACTAGACCGGGTCCACCCGGAAACTGACGAACCGGCACCTAAGTCAATCCGATTACCTATTGACCATGAATATATCAGAAATCGAAAAAATCTGGCAGAAACATTGCATGCATAATTTCTTGATCCGTGGTAAATGTTTTAGGTCTGCCATCCTTCGTCTTTGCCAAATACATCAGCTTGTTTTTAATTTACACATAACTTGTGAAATTTAAACAAGTGATTACTTTTCTTTTCTCCAACAATATGACTAACTTTTTATTTAATTAATCCAATTTTTCTCATTGTAATTTGTATCCAATCTCTACCTCAGCCTCCCTCCCACACCTGCCCCGCCGTTGTTAGATTTGTCGCCGGAAATCGATGCCAAAATTTTTGATGTTTTTTTTCTTCATTTTTCTCGATTTGTTACTCAAAATTCACCGAAAAGAGTCACCTGAAAGAATTTCCAATGGTCATAGTGAAATATCTCGTGGTGGCAATGACATGAAAATCGGGCAACGAAATCTATTAGTGACCTGAAAATTTAGTACTGTCATGAAAATGAAAAATTGACAACAATTATCTCACATTTCACCAGTCTTCTTAAACTAATCTCACTTTTACGTAATTTAAGAATAATCTAACATTTGCTCATTATCTTCTTTTGCTAGTCAGTAAATGATTGATTACTTGCTATACCAGGTCTTTTGCGTTTTCTTTGGAAACATTATATAAATAAATTCACCTATATAAATAATCTCACCCTGTACAAACCTTCACATAACAGTCTTATGTCTCAATTTTCTTTTTTCTTCTTCATACCTTTTTTTTATCCCTTGACACTTTTATTCCTTTTTCATCTTTTTGTTTTTATTTCTATTCCATCTTTTTGTATTCCAATGGAGCCAAAGTCTCATCATTTTTTGGTTTGAGAATATGATGGAATAAAGCAAAATGGCTCGCTAAGTTATGACACAGTAAGTCCATGCAATTTTCGACGTGATTTTCAACATGGATCTCCCGGAAGCAATCTCTCTGTGCTGTACATGGATAAGACTGTGTACATTCGGCTCCCTTTTACTCTACCGCATGTGGAAGCCTTTGCAGCACTAGGACAATGTCGTTGTTGTTGTATATTTATGTACTCTATTTCTCACTCTATTATGAGAGTTCTTTTTGTAAAAAGAAATTGCAGTAAACAAGACTAAAACATTGTCAAACTTCCTAAATAGGACTTAAAGTTTATTATTCTCTAGATAGGACCGCTGATTACATTTTTTCCCTCCATCTAATTAAATCTTGAAATATGTGACCAACTCCACCACCCTAGATGCACAGACGCCATTTGCAATGAAGAATCATTTGCGATTTTACGTACACCTGAATTTTTCATAAATACCTCTGAATTTTTCATAAAGCACAAACGCCATCAAACGACTCTTATGGTTGGAGGGGTTGGGGGATTCATAAATTTTTCTAAATACACCTTCAATTTTCTCATATTCTTCAATCTATAATATCTCTATTATATTCTCATCCATCTTAATATTATATGATGGTACATATCATATATGTTCATATTGGGTATGGTTGTGGTGATAACACATCTTGTGAGAAATGATCGAGAACGATCCAAAATGATGCACATGGTTTACGAAAGTGCACATTTATAGTTAGTGCTGGACTCGGGTCGGGCGGCCTGGCCCGGAACCGGCCCGGAACCGGCCCGGAACCGGCCCGACCCGGTTACTGTTTGGCCCGGCCCGGCCCGGCCCGGGGCCCGGTGGGTCCGCCGGTTCGGTTCGGCCCGGCCCGGCTGCTGGGCGGTTTGGGCCCGGGCCCAGGTTTTGGTGAACCGGCCCGGCCGGTTCGGGCCCGATCCGGGCCAGATTTTAATTTTTTTTTTTTTTGAAATTCTTTTAAGTTTTAGGTTGGATTAGGTATTTTGGGCCATTTGAGGTGGTTTGGGATGGTTTGGGGTTGAGGGGGAGGGGTAGGGGATTAAATAGGAGAACAAAAAAAAAATTAATTGGGCCGGTTCGGCCCGGCCCGGTTTGGCCCGGAACCGGGACCGGAACCGGCCACCGGCGGTTCGGGCTCGGGCCTCCCTTTCCTGGCCCGAGGCCCGGCCGGGCCCAGGCCCGAACCGGGCCCGAACCGGCCCGAGTCCAGCACTATTTATAGTTAAAATAATGCATAGTTCCAATCATGTACACTTTTATGGTTAAAGTAATGTTTCAAATGCACATTGGTGATAGTGCACATTTTTGTTTCACAATTCATACAATGCACAATACACAAATTCAACACTCTAGAATCATTTTCATTTCTCTCCTTTGATCATGTTCTCATTTGAATCAAATTATATTCATATTATTCATATATGTAATATACTTTTAACATATAATTGACAGCGAATAGTCTCAATAGGGAACACTAACATAAATTAATAAGCAAAAACTGCGAATAATCTCAATTATCACAAATCTTTTAATATTAATCACGAATATTGAGAATTCGGGTATCATATGGACTTCCAATTCAGCATGTTACTTGGCGGCGCGAACTATTCTTTAAAGTAATCTTTACATGTATATAACAATATAATAGTATGGTGAGTTTCCAAACACAACACTATTTCTTACACACACAAAACCCTTTAATTGCATTAAATGAAAAGTTAAGTAAGTGCTTAGTGTTATGAAAGTTGCATGAGTCCTCTTTGAATTTAGAACCGAGACCTCTAAATTCATTAGACGACCCTCTTACCATACATACATTGTCTTTGCATTTTTTTAAGGTGAATTGTTTGTGACACAGACAAAAGAATATTTGTATTTGACTGTTTGTGTCACAAACAATTCACCTTAAAAGATGGACTTTATATAGACAAAACATTGTAAATGACATGTACAAGAAGACCTTTTATATAAAGTGGACATTATATCCATCAACCAAGGACAGACTTTATATACACAAAACGTTGTAAATGACATGTACAAGAAGACCTTTATATAAAGTGGACATTATATCCATCAAGTGAGGACATGCTACAACATCTAATTTTAGTGAACTTAACTTCTATTTCCACTACAGTCTACAAATTTCATCACACACACTACATCAAGCAATCGCACACTACCAACAAAGCATAGCAAAACACAATTCTCTAGGCCTTGTATTCATAGTCAGGGAAGGTAGCATTTATTCCATCAGTTCATTATCGAATACAAAAAAGTATTCAATGATGATATCAATTAGAAATTCTTATTCACACAATGCTACCTTAATCCTCTAACCATTCAAAAAAAAAAAAAATAGCTGATCAGCATGCATTGAGCATGAACAAGGGCCGGAGTGGCGTCTGCTGAGGATAACTGGATGCACAAAGAAACTAAACTTTTCCCCCAGGTCAGTACCGTTGCTTCTTTAAACATTACGAGTACTGCAGACAGGTGATGTAATTAAGAGGGCATGCTAAGCTGCCTTTGCATTAAATGGTCTCTAAACTGAACCAAGAAAGTCTGGGATGCAATTGTATGTGGCGGCAGTAATTAATTAAGACACGAGAAGCAAGAACACGATGCAGCCTTGAGCAATGGCCAGTAAAATGTACAAAAGCTTCTTATGCAGAAGCATCACAGAATGGGCTTCAGTGATCATCACCGGGAATTGGCACTCACCCTCGGATGGATCCACATCTGTCACCACAGCCAACCCCGAGAAGTCGCAATCCCAACTGTTCTGATTCTTGAACTGATAGTACATGTTAAAGGCATAAGACGCATTCCCCTGTGCACTCAGATGGTTGCAAGAAGAGCCGTACTCCAGAGCGGTGCAATCCGAAAGGCTACACGCGTAATCGATGTTTCTTGCCAAATCGTCCAATTCTTTGAGCTC